CTCTCTCACACACACACACACACACAAAATCTTCCCATTCCTGCTCTCTACCAGAGGGCTGAGGATGCCCCAAACTTACCTATGGTTTTTCATGCTTGTGTCTCACCTTCTATGCTAGATCCTCTGAAATGTTTAAGCCTGTAGATAGCAGGGCAAATGGGCACAGTTTTCAAAGTGATCTTAATTGATTGACCCAAATACCTCATTGCTTTGCAATTTAGTTAAGTTATTCATAAATTGTAGATAAAACTCTTACTTTCTTCCTGTGGTTGCATCTTATGGGCAATGGAAGGGTATGAAAAGTACATGGGTGTCTGAGCTTCTCAGCCAGGAGTATAGGGGGATGGACACAGAACAGAGATGTTCTTTGCAAGGGGCAGAAAGCAAGGGCAGGGAAGAATAGTTCTGGGACACCAGAAAGGTCCAAGTCATGGGAGCAGCAAGGGAAGCAGAAAGCGCATGTGGGTGCTGGGAGTGAGGTAGAACAACCAGCACCAGACCGCTATGCCATGTGAGCCAGACTGCCATGCCATGCGAACCAAGAGCAAGCAAACATGGAAACTGGTCAGTAAGTCTGGGCTCTTCAACCGGACAAAGGAAGACATTGGATTAGAGCTGACTGCAGTATGTGGCTCTTCTGGAATTGATCACTACCCTTTGGAAAGCATCTTATATCTACCTGTGTCCTGTGCATTCATGAGCTTATTCAGTATGGGTTGATAAGGGCTGAAATACCATACAATTTCAATTCTAAAATTTTGTAAAAACCTGTTGTTTGGCTAGAGCACAACAAGGCAATTTTGGCAATCACATTGTTTCTGGGGTGAGGTAGGCTTTGTGGGTGTTGGTGGCTGACATTTGCACCCAGATCTTTTATGTTGGGATTGTTGTGTATCTTAGGACAATAAATATCAACTCCTCATAACTTGAATGAAAAACAAAACCTACCTTAGTCTGAAAACCAGAAACATCCTGTCTTCCTGTGTTATTTTCTCATTAGAGCTCTGACCTACTCATTTCTAACACACAAGCTTAGAGTTTTTCAATCTGCAAAACAGAGGCTCTGTGTTAAATCTCAGTCCAATAAAGGCAGAGGTTAACATGTCTCTGGAGCCCTCAGTCTCTCCCGTGGGTGGCTGGTGCTGATGAGAGAGGAACCTGGTGACCCAGAGTGAGGTTAATACATCTCTTAAGCCTTTAGACTCTCCCATGTGGGTGGCTGGTATTGATGATAGAAGGACCTGATGACCTAGAGTAAGGGCCACGTGTGTTAAAGTGGGGTGCAGCATCTCCCCAGAGTTCAAAAAGCAGCAGAGGCAAGCCATGCAGAAGTTATAATATATTACAATCAGTGGGTAGAGATTTTATTTTTATTTCCTAAGAGGCATTCAAAGATTTCTGGAAATGGAGAGACTGGCCTTTGCAGGATATGGCAAAGCTGAATGCCCTCTTTCATTGAGGTGGACACATCTCTTATTATTATTATTAATTGCTCACCCTCACCATTTGGATAATGTAAACCATTTGTCTTTTCTCTGCAAAAAAAATTTGTAAGTGCTACCCAATGTAATTGTGTTAGCAGTTGTATCTGCAACTGGTCTATATTTAGGAGAATCTGCTAATAACATCATTGAGGGCCACTGTAGGCTATGTGTTATTTTAGATGACTGTCCTAATGGACCTCTGGTGCAGGGGTTCATATCTCTATCCCTCCCTGAAGAATATAAGAGTCTGTGTGATTGTCATATGCCCATTGTCAGAGGCTCCATGCTTCATAAATAGCCACACCAGGACTAGAAAGCAGGATGGTTCTAACTAGAATTCTAAACAGTGTTCATCAGTGGTATTTTAATCTAGCTGTAAATGGATCTGGATGTAGGTTCAGGCAGGAAGTCTTTCCTGTTGGGAACAAGTCAGTGAGAGAAAAAGGAGGAAGCAGTATGTCCCCCATGGGGCTCTTGATAAATTTTCATTTCTATATGTCCTGTTTAGTTTTTATTGCCAATCTAGGATGAGGAAGCCTCAGTTGAGGAATTGTCTATAGGACATTGTCTTGATTGTTAGCTAATATAGGATGGTCCATACCACTGTGAGCATTATCCTTAGACAGGGATAAGAAAGCTAGCAAAACATGTGCCTGTGAGCATACCAACAAACACCGTTCCTCCATGGTTCCTGCTTCCTGGTTCCTGCCTTGAGTTCCTGTCTCAACTCCCCTCAATAATAGACTGTGACATTGAAGTATAAGTCAAATAAACCTTTCCTTCCATGAGTTGCTTTTGGTCAGAATGTTTCATCATAGCAACTGATGAAACTGGAATACCCATTACTTCAGGCTTATCCAGTAGCACTCAGTTCACTCAATGTCCATGTTTCTGTCCACTTTATGTGAGTTCTCTGCAAAGAATATGGCCTTTCCCCCTTACTTTGACTTCTACTTTCATTTTCCTCTCTTCCCATGCCCAGTGGACTTCCAAGAAAGTCAGACTTAACAATCACAGTAAGTAATTTTTTTATAACATCCATTGATCAATTTATAGGTGCTGGTCTCTACTGGGCTCTTTGTGTGGGTTTTCTCACCTAATATTCAAAATATACATAAAGCAGAAGGCATTTTATCCCCATATACAGATGAGAATATCATACCACCCATCCTCCTCCATCCCCACTCTCTCATTCCTCAAGTTTATTAAAAATATGTTTGTCCCTTGGACTGAAGAATGAAGACATAGGAAGGAATGCAGCTTCCTAGAAGAATGTGACAGAGACAATTCATCCTTTAATCCATGGCCTACTGAATGGGTCTGTAGTTATCCCATCTATGACTAGGCCATCTCTCTTCTGTGTTGGGGATCTGATAGTATTCATGCCTGCAGCCCAGGAGACAATGACTGAGACACAGTGGGTGTAGTGGCTACCAACTAACTACCTATATTATGGTGCTGATGGACAGGAAGCCCCACCTGCCAGCTCTGTCCTGCTCTAGTCAGTCTGTGTTTAAAGTGCATCCTGACAAGTCCACTAAAGATGAAAGAGGTGCTGGGGCAAGGGACAATGGGCTGGCTAATTGCAGGAATAAACTTTATGGCTTGGGGACAGGGCCACCATAAACCTTTTCCATGCTGTGCAGCACAGGTCGGGATGGCAACAACATGCCTTGGCTGGTAGCTTTACTTGGCTCCTCAAGGGAGCAATGGTGTACCAGCCAGCCTGTTTTCTGGATGCCTCCCTGTCCATGTGAGGTCTGCCATTATTGAACTTTGAAGCAGTGGGAGCTCCTGGTACAAGGCAGGATCTGTGAGTCTCACAGGCTTCAGAGGATGTGAGGTGCACAGCTCTAGGGATTGAAGCTGCAGAGTATTGAGTTGTTACTCATAGATAAGACCAAATGACACAGTGTAACATATTCCATCAACTTTTAAAGGTCATCTCATCTATACCCCTGCCTCTTCTTCAGATCAATTCCAAACCATCTCAGGCTAAAAATGGTTACTGAATTGCCAACTATAAAGTTGTGTGTGGATTTATTTTAACAACTTATATGACCGAAAACAAAAGTTTCCTCAAATCGACTTTAATCACTTTGGCTTTCAGGGAAAAGTGCTACTTCCTATCCTTGTGAATTGATGAAAGATATCTCACTGGAATCTTGAAACATTTAGAGGGACTTGGGATTCAATTTTATACAATAAGTACTTACTGAGCTGTTGAGTCCCTGGTGGGATGGTGGGGATGAGAGGACCACATGGACATACCAGGCTTTCTTTCTCTCACAGGAAGCAGATTTCTTGCCAGGTATGGTGGTGCATGCCTGTAATTCAAACACTGAAGAGGGTGAGATAGTAGGATTCTGAGTTCAAGGCCAGTCTGGGTTAGAGCACAATTCTTACATCTGTAACCACAGAATGTCACCTTTGCTATATAAGGCCACCAGAGAAGTTGGGAGCCAATGATTTTATCCAGAGCTAAGTAACTCCCTTGTGGAGTCAAGGTTTATGAAAGGGCACCTGCATGCCATCAGCTCCCAGAAAAGGTGGCCACAGAAGTCTGGGCAAGTCAGGCACAGTTGCCTGTCCAGAGAAGGAGGCCTAAGGAACTTGATTGCACCATCAGTCCAGTGTTTTGCCTCTGCTGACATAAGTTCTCACTGTAGATCACAAGTTTTACATGCTGATCATTTTTCCAGCCATCCATGCTCTGAATTGATGGATATTAAACACACACCTTTCCTGGACGTGATCCAAGGTAGGTCAGAAAAACTCATCACTATAGTCTGTATTCCTATAATTCATATGCTGAAATTTAGTCCACGTCTTTATTAATAGTATTGGAAGGTAGGAGAATTGGGAGAAGTCTGGCTACAGGGGCTTAAAGAAAGTAAGTTCACTTTTTACCACCTGAAGACAAGCTAAAAAGTGCTGACTCTTAACCATAAAGGACAAGCTGGCACCTTGTTTGGAAACTTGCCAGCCTCTGATACTGTGAGAAATAAACTTCTGTAGTTTAAATCTATACAGCTTGTAATATTTTGTTATAATGTGCTAAACAGACTAAGCCCATACCTTTGTGTGGAGAAGATAGATCAGAATAATTGATTAGCAAATATGTATTGATCACAAGCCATGCTGTAAAAATATTATGGAAAGTAAAAGGAAAAAAGAGAGGAAGGACTATGCGGATCTCATAATACAGTGGAAAATAAAACTGTGACAACATGAGGTCATCTTAAAGTGTTATCTACTAAACCCCAATCCTTTTATTGACAAGTTACTTTATCTCTATAGTAACTATATATACCACACAGTGCATTACAATGTCTATTGTCTGTTGGTTTTTCATTTGTGGTTGGAATGTTTCATGAGGCCAGGGTCACTGACTTACTCCCTACTCTAGTCTAGATCCTAAAAGCATGCATGTCCTATGATAGGACTTAAATGTCTTTTGTCTGCCTGTCCATTTCATCCATCCATTTATCCCATCCATCCATCCATCCATCCATCCATCCATCCATCCATCCAATGACCTACTCATCTACCCATCCATCTACCCATCTGCTCACCTATCATCTATGTATGTGTTTATGAAAGCATTGAAAAGTTAATGAATTATTTAAAGCAATTAATTATTTTAAGAGTTCAGAGAAAGAAGAAGTAAGTACACAAAAAAGATGTTAAATTAACACCATTAGTCATTACAAGACAACAGATTAAAAGCCCAGTAAAAAAGTACTGCATACCAACTAGAATAGCTAAAATCTAGAAACTTAACCAAGTCCTAGACTATACAAAGTGCTAAGAAGTTGAGCCTCCTAATGCTGCTGGCAGAAGTATGAATGATAAAACTGCTTTAAGAAAAAGTTTTAGGCATTGCTTTAAAAGTTAATCATATACTTAAGCCAGCTGCTGAACTTCCTGGTTGGTGTTTGTCCAAGACAAGGAAATACAAATGTCTACATGTTATGTCTAAGTGTATCCCCCAAATCTACACATTAGAAACATGGCCTAAACTTGCTTTTGAGGACATGTTTAGTTTAGGTCATGACTACTCTGACCTTATGGGAGGGTTGATGGCATTATTAAAGGGCTTGGTGGAAGGAGTTTGCTCTTTTATCAGTCTACCTTATCTTGTTTAAGGATACAGATTCCCCTCCCCCCAGAGGATGCAGCATTCACGGTGTCATCTTGGAAGCAGAAAGAAGCCCTTGCCAGATATAAATATTTTAACTTTAGAGTCCCAACCTCCAGACTATAATACATTGTTGTTATTTGTAAATTATCCAGTATCAGGTATTCTGCTGCAAGAGCTCAAATAATACAGGATTTGTTGAGTTCATGAAGCTAGAACAACAGTATGGACTATGCATTTTCATTCATATAAAATTCTAGAAATTTCCAACCAATCTATAGTGACATAGGAGCCTGTTGGCTGTCTGGAAACTGATTGGAGGGTCCAGGGATGCAGGGAGACAGATAACACAGACACAAAAGAACACAAGGAACTTTGGGGCATAATAGATAAGCTCATTACCTTGATTGATTGTGGTGAGAGTTTCATAGTTATACACTTGGGTAAAAATTCAGATTATCAAATATATATATAGTTTCTTATATATTGCTTATATCCCAATTAAAAATGAGAAAATATTAAAAGCTATATTTTTGAAAATTTCTTTGTAAATATTTAAGTTGGCCAGGATATTCCTAAGTTTTAAGTATTGAGCTGTGGGTATATAACATCTATCTCCATCTGTAGGGATAATTAGGAAGAACTTTGGCTGACATACTTTGGAAATTTGTCATGTGTCTGCCAGATTCTATGTTAGTCAAGCCTTGAAACAATCACAGAGTAGTTACTCTTTTAATTTGTTTGTTTTGTTTTTTGATACAGGGTTTCTCTGTGTAGCTCTAGCTATCCTGGAACTCACTAGGTAATCCAGACTGGCCTTGAACTCAGAAATCCATTACTTCTGCCCCCTGAATGCTGGGATTAAAGGCATGAGTCACCATGCCCAGTTTAGGGCAGTTACTCTTATTACCGCCCATTTCAGTGTAAAGAATTAAATTCAGGAAAATTAATAATCTGTCAAACACTCCAAGGCTACTAACAGACAAAAGCCCATACTTGATAATCAGCCTATTTGATAATTTTAAATTCATCAATATTCAAATGATATAGAATATCTGCTACTCAGAAAAAAATGGGAATGTCTAAATGGGAAGGTTGGCCTGAGACAGTTGAGTCTATTGACAAGTACTTACTGTAAATATTTAGGCTGAAAATCGTTTTTATAACTCCAAAGTGTAACACGGTGATAAATGCTACAATTCTATTTGTACTTTCTCAGCATCGTGGCCTTGTCAATACCAGCCTCTCCCTCCCATATCCACCGTCACCATAACTAACTCCACCAGCACCTTCCACTGGGACTGATCAGCCTCTCACTGGTCCCCCTTGCTCATGTGCTCCAGCACAGCCAGAACGTTTCTGTAGCACTCCACACTACTTTGCTGCTTTCTTCAACTCCCCTGGTCGTTTCCTGGGACACTGAAAATTCAGTCTCTAATCCTAATTTGACCTCTATGTATTTCTCCTATCCTGTCTTATGTGATGCTTCCTGATCTCTCTTCAACATCACCAACATTCTCTCTGCTTTCCAAGTATTTAATTGGATTCTACTATGGTCTAGATGAGTCCCCTGCAAAATTAAGTTGTCCCAGTGCGATAGTAGTAAGAGAGTGCCTTAAAGCTATGGATTGGTAATGAGAGCTTCTCCTTTGTTGGCAGGATTAGATGACCTTTAAAGGGCTAAAGGAAGGAAGTTTGTTCTTTTTGCTCCTCTGTCTTAAGCATCTAGTCAGACACTGAACCTCCCAGCATCACTGTCTTGTATTTCCCAGTCTCCAGAACTGTGAGAAATAAACTTCTGCCCAACATAAATTACCCAGTCTATGGCATTATGTTACAGTAGCATCATGGATTGAAGATAAATGCCTACCTTGCTTCTTTGTACCTGATATCCTAAAGTGACCTTTCTATAGACTTCCGTATGGCTCACACTTCTATTTTCTGGTCTTAGCTCAAATGTCAGGTCTTCTCTTGCTATCACAAACAAACCGATTCTACCCTTGACCTCACAGAACTCCTTTCACATGTACCAGGGTCTTACATGGCCTTTATACTGTTTTTATTAATGTATTACCTGTATATTTCCTGGCCATAAGAACAGGAAATAGGCTGGGCGGTGGTGCTCGCCTTTAATTCCAGCACTGGGAAGGCAGAGCCAGGCAGATCTCTGTGGGTTGGAGGCCAACCTGGTCTACAGAGTGAGATCCAGGATAGGAACCAAAACTATATGGAGAAACCTTGTCTCGAAAAAAAAAAAAAAAACCAAACAAACAAAAAACCAGGAAATCCATTTGTACTTATGAATGTATTCTCAGAGCCTAGAGCAACACTGGTGATGTGGTTTGAATGTAAAATATCCCCCACAGGCTTAAGAGGTTGAACATTTGATTTCTAGATGGTGGCACTATTTTGGGAGGTCGTGGAATGTCTCAGAGAGCCATTAGAGGTGGGCACAGAAGTTTTATAGCTCAATCTCACTTGTCCTCTCTGTGATTTCTGTTCCACCACTGTGAGAGGGTGTGGGGAGCCCTGTCTGCATACTGTGGCGACCATGGAGCCACCTGCAAACATGATGGCATGCATTCCATCAAACCAGGACACAAACCCTTCTTCCTTCATTACTGCTTGTCAGGTATTTTGTTATTGCAATGAGAAAAGTTACAAACATAGCTGGGCACTCAGAGACGCTAAATAACTGTTAAATGAACACACCGACTGTGTGGCAGAGTAGGTGGTCCCCAATGAGCTCCAGTCTCCAACTTGACCTGAAGGTGCTAGAGTCCAACACATGGCTTAGCTATGGCCAATACATCATCTTGGATAAATGCCACTCCCAATGCATCTGTTGCGTGCTAATAATTTGTTTCTTAATTTTTTAAGTGTGAAAATCATACACTAGAAGAGATCAAGCAGACAATGTCTTGGAAATCTGATTTGGTATCCAAATATGAAATTTGCCACACTTTAACTGACCTATACTCAGCCTCTCATTCTACCCCTTTCTGCTTTCTTGGGGTCACATGGACCTGATCTGGTCTCTGAGCTGAGCTGAACATTGCTTAGCAACACCTGGCCTTACTGCCTGCTCCTCAGAACTCTGCTACAGAGATTTGTTTGTGAAATAGCCTCAATCTAAACTACAAACTAGTTGAATATTCACAACTGCTTCTGAGTCTCACAAATCATTTGCTTCT